AAAGAAACCATATCAAACCAACTCCAAACTAAAAATTAGTAAAACCCGATTGAATGAAAGAATTGGAGCCTAACAAATATTAGCCAATATAACTTATGAATATAGTACTGAAATCCAAATCAATCAAACCTAACCAAAATAGAACACCAAACACCTAGGCATTTCAAAATTTACTTTTGAAATTTTGACACAACTGAAACCAAACAACCGATGATAAATCCTTGAGAGATGTAAAAAATTTCTTGAGACTTGCAATCAATAAAACAAAAATGTTCAGAAGAAAAACAGATAAAGAAAAGTGGACAACACAAAATTCAAGAGGACAACACAAAATTCGTTAAGACTTGATCTTTTTAGGCAGCGAGATCAGGAAGTGTGTTCTGAATGTTGTAAGGCATCAAGATGTTGAAATCATCAGCCGCAGTTGAGACGATCATCCCTGGAATCTGGTTGTGCTAGTGAAGTTCCTTCAAGTCCTTTTGCTCCTGGTGAACGAACAGAAGCTGAGGAGGCAAATTTTGAGTTGTGTTGACATGTTATATAACATAAGCTATCCCATCCATTGAACATTCTCAGAGTACACCTCAGACTTTTTAACTCTTTTTTTAATTAATGTTTCAGTTATATCATCCAGAAGCTGAGTGATCCAGCTAGAGCTCACCAACTGAAGCTTGAAGTGATTGCCAAAGGACTTACATGGCTATAGATATATATGGATCTCGACGAGGTTTCTTCTATGTTTCCATCTCATCCATTGATTTTTATTACTTGCATAAAAGTGTTATCAACTCTCAGTTCTGATACTATGGTTTGCAGGTGGAATGTATAATGACAAAAACCTTTTGAAAAGGTTATTTGGCACACAAGAACAAAGTGGTAGTTCTAAGCAAAAAGATCCTTTCCTTACACTAAACGGCAAGCTTGATGGCTCATAGTGCAAGGCCCTGCAACTTGCGGGTTGTCCTTCTTGTATTAAGGTAACCACTAGAGTTTGATCGTTTGCTTGAGCGACGTTTGTTTTTACTTTTTTTTTCTCTCAATTGATATTTGCTTCTCATGATTAATGTTATATATTTTACATATGTAAACATATAACTCTAATTGTTTATTGGTTATATTGATTCTAGGTTCATATATATCAGAATCATGGAGAATATGAAAAAAAAATTAGTTATTTGGATATTTTTAGGTTATTTTAAACTGGATACAAAATACCCAAACCGAATTGGGTAATATGGTTATTTCTGATATAAATATTCAAACTCGTTTCAGATAAATTGGTTATTTAGATATACATGGGTTATTTATATATTTTCAGGTTCTTATACATCATAACTGAATCCACTCAGACATAGGAGGATCCGATTCGAAATCCACCTAAAAATTTATAATATTTGAATGGAGACTAATTTCAAAACCCCCAAAAAATGATACCGAAATAAAAGATCCGTACCCAAACGGCTACATAAATGTTCATGCCTAACTAATTTTGTAAGTAATTTTTTTTTTTGTTAATCATTTTGAATTCTTATCACAATTGGATTAATTTCGTTCAAACATGTTGTATTATTACGGTAATATGTAAAATAAATGTTGTTGGATTATTATGGTAAAGATAATTAATAAAGTTGTTAAGAAGAGTGAAATATATATATATATATATATATATAATATTTAATAGGTAATTTTTGTTTGATATTTTTTGTAATATATGCTATCAAATTATTTTGAAAATATAATTAATGAAATAGTTAAAATTAGTTAAGTGATGAAATAAAATTAGTAAGAAACCACTTCAAAATAAGTAAGTTATTTTGAAATTCAATTTTAATAGAATAGATGTTTTAAAATTTAAGTTTTTTTTTTATAGTCTGATAGATTTTATATGCATAAAGAATGACTTAGAGGTTATAAGAGCATCCAGGTTATATGCCTTAGAATTTTTTTTTTCCCTATTGAACAGACGTTGGCTTTGCGCCTTATAATAAAGTTTCGGAAGCGGATGTGTCTTTGGTATCATCTTAAACCAGACTTCAGTGGCTCATTGGAAATACCATCATTTCGTAATTACATGTTCAAAATGAATGATAGACAAATAAAACATTAAAAAAAATTAGAAATTATTTGAAACAATTATCTTATCATTGCACTAAAGCTGCTCAAAAACTACTCATGGTCAATCTATGCATAAGAGAATTCATTTCAAAATTTAGTTGGCATTTTATCAAAAGAAACCAAACAACCAATGATGAAATCTTCAAAACTGTAAACGAGAGTTAGTTCTTGAAAACAGCATTTAAGAAAACAAAAAAATTAACTAGAAAACAGATGACTAAAATACTTCAAAAGTTTTTCATGACAAAGACTTTTTTCAGGCAGCAAGATCAGGAAGTGTGTTTTGAATATTGTAAGGCATCGAGATGTTGAAACCATCAGCCGCAGTTGAGACGATCATCCCTGGAATCTGGTTGTGCCAGTGAAGTTCCTTCAAGTCCTTTTGCCCCTGGTGAACGAAGAGTAGCTGAGGAGGTAAGTCTTGAGGTGTGTTGACTTGTTCCTTGGTCTGTGCTTTGAACTCTGCTTCCTCTTCTTCATCCTTCTCTAATGACAAATCCCATATCCTGCAGATTTAATAGATAGCCAAAAACCATAAGACTATTTTTTTCTGTTTTATTCGGGATTATCAGTGCTTTCTGTATAAGCTTTGTGGCCTACGTGAGCTGGTTATCGCCAGAAGAGACTGCAAGTGTCGAGGATTCATGAGCACTCCACTCAATCGACGTGATAGGATGCTTATGATACTCAAAATGTGCTACCTTAGCACCTTTACCCTAGTTCAAATTCAAGTTCTATCACATCAAAATCTTGTTAAGATATTCATATGGAAATTATAAAACCTATGGTCTTCAACGTACCTTGATTTCTCTAAGATCATGGATAGAGAATGTCCCGTCATCACTCCCTGACGCCAACATGCAACTAGCCAGCCTTCGTGAAAGAGGAAAATAACAAATGAGACAATTTGCGGGTAACAAAAAAACAAGTTACACATCAAAGTGACAAAAGAACCTGTTCCATGAGATGACATTCACATCTGAGTTATGTGCCTTGAAAGATAATACAGGCGACTTCCCTTCTCGGACATCCCAAAGTGCAACAGTCCCATCCACAGAACATGACGCAAACACGTTGGCTTCAGCTGGACTCCACTGGAAACAGAGGAAATAGTATTAAGCCGAAAGGAGACAGTATCAATCAACACACAATTTAGCTGCAAAGCGAGAATTTTACTTGTATATCTTCAACACTTGCGGTGTGTCCGGCTAACGGAATAGGATCAACTGTCCATGAACCGGAAGCTGGTTCCCACAAATGAATCATACTCATGCAGTCCCCTAAAGGATTGAGAAAAGAATTAAATACACATTGACTATGTTGAAATATAATGTAACTATTCAAGTATTGTTGAAATTTCTGAGACAAAAGTATACCGGAAAGAAGTCTTCCAGCGGTTGCAGGACTCCAATCTATAGCATAGCCTTCATCTTTGTGGCCAGAAAAGTTAACTAAGGGTGCTTGGTTAAGAATCGGTGAAGTTCCATCTTTGCCTTCTGTTTCTGACTCAGCTAAAGCATTAAGATGAGAGGTCATGTCCCACACCTGCCCACAAACCAGTTTATAAGAGACACATATAACAGCAAGCCAAAAACATAATCTAGACAATTATCATACCTGTACATGAGCAGAATCTGCCCAAGAGACACAGATATGTGGATTTTGTGGCATTGCACGTATGCGGTTAACACATCCATGGTGAGCAACCCTGCGAACCTGCATATCCAAATTTTGTTTTGAGGCAAAGTATTAATCATGATGACTGTATCACTTCAAAGATGAGTAGGCGAGCATAACCTGAATATTAGGAACAGAGGAAGCTCCATCTTCGCTTTCCTCATCGCTATCACTGTCCTCTTCTTCATCATCCTCATCCTCCATACCATCATCACCATTCACTAGATTCTTGGGCACTACATCACGTCTCTTACCAGATACGTTGCTGATTTTAAATAATCCTATGGAGTTCCAAGGTGCTTTCTCAGCCTAATTGGAGGGAAAACATTCATAGGATTCAACCCAAGATTCCAGAGCAAAACACATATGAAGATATAAGGGTACAAGACTTGACCTGAGTCCCAGCCACCAAATACAGTGTGTGAGGAAACTCAGTTCTGTTCAAACCCAACTTATCACCTAAGATGTCAAAACTGAAACAAAGAAAAGGAACTATCAAATCACCAATTCATTCAAAAACAGATGAACTTGCTCGTGCAAAACATAAGACTATCTCTATCAGGATTTAGCTAAGAATAGTCTATACCTCAAACAGGGCCAACCAACATGGAAGCCATGAAGGGAATTATATGCAGAAGGGTCGCACTGAAGCTCTTCTCCATCTTCGAGCTTATCAACACCTGGCTGCCAAACCCTTGTTGGCATTGATGGTATCGATGAAGAAGACGCTTCTCCCTTCTTCTACATTCCAAATTCACGCTATTAGGTTTTTATTTTAGAACATCATATTGAAAATTGAGCAAATTTGAGATTCAAAATTCAAACCTTGTTCTTCCTCTTCGCCTTTTTAGTGTTTACGGTGCGACCCATTTAGCTTCCCCCTGATTCTAATAAGATTCTTCTGAGAAGAAGATGATGAGTTCAGCTACAAGAGTTCAATTTTCTCTAGGGTTTAAAGCTATTTATACCTAACCAAATACTTTTCCCTCTTTTGCATATATATCCTCTGTTTATTTAAAAATTACTTTAAATTCCTAAATCTTTTAAAACTGTAATCTCACCCAAAGTTCGTTAAGAGATCACCTTCAAGCTGTTTTTTGTTTTTTTTACTGTTCGTTGATTAGAGTCAACAGAAACAATGTAGTAAAAAGGAAAAGCGTGTACCAACAAAAAAAAAGCAAGTACACTAGTGTTGTTATGTTTCTCTTCTACTTTGAGGAGAAGAATTTGTCCCAATCACGAAGCGATGAATCAACAGAATCATCAGGGAGAAGTTTTGGAACCCTCTCTGCGCGAATGAACTGTTTCAAGACAGCTTTCTCTTCATCGATTTGTTTCTTCTCTTTCCTGTCTTTTGGTTCCTTCTTCCTTTTCTCTTCCAAGATCCACTTGAAAAGCTCCCTTTGCTCATCTTCTGGAATCGGTTTCCTTGCTACCTTTACAGGCTCAGTCGCCACACCACCCTGAAACACCAACTCATCAGCTGATGCTGCATCCGTAAACTCAAACAGAGGATCTGGTTTAGGGATCGGTTTGGCTTCTTCTTTCTCAGGTACTGCGGTTTCTGGATTCTTAGCCTTATCAGTTTCTGCAACTTTCTTCTCGACCTCAATGTTAACAACACTCTTTTTCGCACCTTTACTTCTGGCTTCGGTGCCCTTTTTAACTAACATTTTCTCGCCCGCATCAATGTCTCTTTCTCGTTTTTTCGCAAATATAAAAGCTGCAGAACCACAAGGTAAAATTAGCGAAGATTGAAGTGGAAGAAAATGACTGCTCTATCAAATCCAAATTGCTTATAACGCCAGACATATCTGAATCAGACCGAGCTTACGAAGTTGTACCATTGAGGATATTAAGACATCTCCAGCATAGATCAAATAATAATCAAGATGGGTTTACTGAGAATATGCTATAGAAACATTGAGTGGCCTATTGGGAGTAGGCTTAAACATTTCAAAAGAATGAATGAACACAATACAATAAAATGTGCAATGCAATTACGTCCATTAACCAAAATAATACAAGAATCTATGAGTTAAATTGTATTTTCATATCGCTAAAGAATATAAACAATAAGCATTGTGAATCAAACTCTATTGGAGTTATCGAAGTAAGCACGAAATGATCAAATTCCACTCTATATATATATGATAATTTATAGAATAAATTAAATAATCCATTGGGAGAAATATCTGAGCTAGGCATTTCATCAAACACATTGTGCACGTAAACTGATAATACCTGCGAGACCGAGATTGAAGATCAACATAGTTCGCCACCCCACTGTAGCTAGTCTCGGAACCGCTTTCTGTAGAGGTTGGGATCCTGAGGGAGGCGGCTCCATCGGATCCGGTTGAAATATCGCAAAACCCGACTCGGATCTTTCGTATTATACAGCTTCCCGAGAGATAATAGTATCGTTACAAAAGATAATTTATAGTTTCAAAACCCTGATTTGATGTATTCCTCGTCTACTTGTTATTTGATTTTGCTTCCTCGTCAAGCAAATTTTGGGGAAAGGAGTTTCTGGCTTTGATCTTCTCTGAAAGTCTTGACTGGCTTTATGGCGTGTGGTTTGTGCAATTGGCACTCGAAAGACTCTAACTCCTCAAGAGACTCTGTTACGCCCAAATGAAGGAGCGATATTTTTCTTTTCTTTTTTTTTGTCAACTTTCATATCAGTAAGCCACATGGGCTTAAACCATGAATACAAAGTTAGATTTTAAAGCCCAACCCATCAATGATATAAAATAAATTACAAAGCTCATAAACACACGTGTAAGCTCATCCATAAACAGTTGTTCAAAAAAAAAAAAAAACTCAACCATAAACTATTGGGCTTATTGGCAAAGTAGCCAAATTTCAGAGCTAAATTAAGTACATTGATGTTGACATAATGCATTGTTTGACAAGTTAGCCTGTTTTTCATCCGGTTTTACCCCTTTCATTCTATAAAATAAATGACGTGGTGGTTTTCTGTAGGATAGTTAAATCACGAAACTTATGAAGCATAGAGAAACAATTTACCTATTTCTGTTCAACTCTACCTAGATCATCTATTCCATTTTGTTTTTCTATTCATCTATTCCATTTATAAATGATTATAAATAATCTACGGATCCTTTAGATTGCCTTGCTATTTCGTTATGAACTATTCCATACGGTTATGTAGTATAGCATATCAACATATATTTGATTTTTAAGTTGGATTACTACATACGGTATTAAGAGGTGGGTTAGGAAAATAACCATCTACATTGAGAATGGACGCTAATTACTAAACAAAAGTTAGGAAAATATAAACTCCAATCCATTAGCTAGATCTTGAAATAGTTGTTAATTTTTTTCTTTTGTTTACCCCACTAAACAAAATGTAGAGAAATATAAACCACAATCAATAAACATAAGTTAGGGAAATATAAACCCCATAAATTGTCATTTTAAATGTTATGGACGCTAATCACTAAACAAAAATTAAGAAAATATAAATCCCAATCCATTATGTTTTTTAAGTTGGATTACTACATACGGTATTAGGAGGTGAGTTAGGAAAATAACCATTTACATTGAGGATGGATGCTAATCACTAAACAAAAGTTAGAAAAATATAAAGTCCAATCCATTAGCTAGATCTTGAAGTAGTTCTTAATCTTTTTCTTTTGTTTACCCCACTAAACAAAAGGTTGAGAAATATAAACCACAATCAATAAACATAAGTTAGGGACCCCATAAATTGTAACTTTATCTACAATCTTACATACTAAACATATCCAAATCCAATTATTTATCTACAACCTTACATACTAAACATATCCAAATCAAATTCTTATTAGATACTAAACATTATTCCAATCCCAACCACCCTCTATACTAAACCCTAAACTCTAATCAGTAAACCCTAAACCCAAATCTAAACCATAAACCCAAATATAAACCATAACTTAAAATATAATCACAAAATTCAAATAGAATTAAACAAAATAAATAACATATTACATATTTGTGAAATTATAAAAATGTCAATAATTGCATGGGAAAATTATTACTGGCCCCAACATAGATCATAATACGATTGTTACAGATTAAAAACATGTAAAGATAGTTAGAATTTAAGAAAATTACACTCTATTTCTAAACAAAATAGAACACTTTTATGAACCGTCAAATAGAATGGAACATGATAAAGTAATAAAGTAACAGAATAGAACGCATAACAAAATACGAGAATACACATTGTTTACATTTCTATTCTATATGCATAATATAATAGAATATAATAACAGAAACTGTTAATCTTCTCTCACATACAACATAGATTTCCTGTAAATTCAGATTATGTGTTTCGAATTATGTACATGTTCTGATGTCTTTGCTACTGTCACTTTTGAATCTGAGAAGCCTCTCCTTTCCATCACCAACAAATCTTCCTAAACATGTCTCCTTCACAAAACGTTTCGGATACATAGTCCTACATCTTCATAGCTCAAATCTATTTTGGAGGAATCTATTCACTTTTTCAAATATTAACAATAAAAAAAATTATTCTGTGAGTGTGTGTAGCAACAAAGAACCACGTTTTATGGTTCACAATCAATACTTATTAATTTAGTTTTTGTTTCTTTGCAGGTTACACAGGTGAAAAGCAAGGTCAATATAATATTATTATATAAATGTAACGGTGTGTATAGGAATGTTAGGGATATTGGCTACTTGGTGAATTAGTCTTTTTTTTTCATGCCATACAGTCCAATTTCCCTAAACTATTGCAACGTGACTTCTTCTTGTTACACATGAAGGGCGAAGCTTGACTTCCTCGTTACGAGTGCACCGCCTTGGCTCCTCCACCATGGCACCGCCGGTGAAACTCTTCAGCTTAGCTACCGCCACCGTCTTTGTTACCACGAAGCCTTATTCTCCAAGATTTGTACTTTATTAACTCCAATCTTCCACTTAATCCGCCACTAGAAATCAAGACCTTTTTCCACACCGGTTGATGTAACAGGGAAGATTCAGTTGATCTAAATATTATTTTTTGTCGGACCATCTTATCAAGATGCCAACTCTACTAAATATCCTTCAGATCAACCGACATAAATCCAACATCGCATCTTCCTTACATCGAAGTTACTTTACCATTTAGCCAAACATAGGGTCTCATAAAGATGAGTAAATATTGATTCTTCTAGAAAGGAATAAGCGCATAACCGAAGAAGATAGTACCCACTTATAGCTAACGGAATGATGATGTGTTGCGGAAGAGGAGAACAAAACCGATTTTCTAATCAGATGTTTTATTATTATCAACCAAAACATAGATAAAACAAAGAGATTGAAGAACTGCTCTATTTTGAGTTGAATCTATCACTACAAAATCGCCACCGCGAAAAAGAAAAATCGCCAAAGCGAAGCCGATAATCGATCATATTGATCGAAACTATATTACATCAAAAAGGAATCGGCTTAATCTCTCCCCCTCTAAAAGATATTGTATTGGTAAAAGGGTTAAGAGAGATTTGTCTCTCTCTAAAGAAGAGAGAGAGAAGCCGATGAGTATTGGAGAGATAAATTTCATTTTTTAAGGAGCGATATTAATATTTGGAAATTGTATTTATAGCATTGTGTTTTATTCACATTGATTGCTATTAATTGGAGCGATATTAATAAAGTTATTTAGCTGAATAACTATGAAACATTTATTAATTAGTTATATGGAAAATCCCTATTTGATTTTTCATAATCCCAAAATATATCCCTACTTTTACACCACGACTAGAATTGACACCTACATATGAAACATCTTTCACATCTGACAGTGTCAGCAACTTGTCTCCCTCTACTCAGTTTTACAATAATAACTATAGACTAACTAGTACACACAACCAAAAAATCATTTCATTTTCTGCACAATTTAAAATTATTTTGCAATCAAAACCAGTGTTTTGAAATTTTAATCTCTTGTTTCTCCCCCTGAAAAACCTTTTTAGATCTAGAATTGTGTAACCTTCGTTAAATTTTTCCAATCCATGGTAACCGATCTACGCGGCAGCTCATCGTAAAAATCAGAAAACCTTGGTCAGATACCAGATGAAGAAGAGCTACACATAATGAAGAATTCACCTTCTTTTTAGGGATGTTTGCAACAGACCACTTGACGGGCAACAAGGAAAAGATCCGTTTAGCTTTATAACCAAACAAACGTAATGTGCTGGGGAATCTGGCACAATACTCGACCCACACCCCAAAATCACCTCATGACAACCATGTAATGTCTGTATTAGCCATTGTTTTTTTTTTTTTTTTTTTCTGTATTAGCCATTGTTATCCACATAAGTCAATGCTAACCGGTTTTATTTTTTTGTAATTGGTGATGAAGGGATATTATGGGATATCAGAACACCGTAGGAATGAATGCACAAGTCTTGCTAATGTCTCTCAATATAATCTCAAACGGAAGTACATTGTCTGCACATAACCAAAACGCATAAAACCCAGAGAGATGACGTCGGAAAACAATGGTATAGATACTTTAGTATCCGGCATAGGCTATAAAATCTGGATATTGACTATAATATCCAGTAATAGGATATAATAACTGGATATCGACTATAACATCCGGTTATCGACTACTATATATGGTTATAATATCCGGTTATCGACTATGTTAATCAAATGTAGAGCTTCCCCAATTATGAAAATCATATACAACACAGAACCGCAGTAAAAATTATGAAAATCATATAAAACACAGAAGCGCAGCAAGAGAGAGAGAGAGAGAGAGAGAGATGAAATATTGATAAAGAACAAAAATCATGTATGTTATCCATCAGATGTTGTTCTGTACAAAGACTTATTTACATTGTTCTGTACGAAGACTAATTAATAAATGTTTCATAGTGATCTTCCATATAAATATGTAGTAGACAGCTATGACTTAGCTATTAGATTATCTTTCGTAAAATAGTGTCACATAAAGTTGTCATGCTCTGACAATAGCTTCTGTGCGACCTGACACACTCTACATTTTGTCCCACTTGTGTGTTTGAAATTGTAGGCGCTTGAGACGTTTTCCGAATGATATTTTCGTCCTACTCTAAGCTTTACATAGGTAATCACCTAAATACAAAAAATGTATAGTTAGTTAGCTAATATCAAAAGGTTTTATAGTTATTGGATGCAATTTCTCATATTAATATTTGGAAATTGTATTTATGGCATTGTGTTTTATTCAAATTGATTGCTATTAATTATCTATTATCAATACTTTTTATGAAATTTTCTTCCAAAAAATTCTTGGATAAAATCCAAAACTTATTTTCCAAAATTCATATTTAATAACAATAGTGATATACTTATTTTCTAAATTCTTAAAATCCTTGGATAAAAATCCAAAGCTTATTTTCCAAAATTCATATTTAATAACAATATTGATGTGTTTTCTAAATTCTTATTTTAATTTCTAAAGTGTAATTTGCACATACGGTTTAAGAACATCATTCAAATCCATAATGTTATCAACAAGCTCAGTGCAACTTTCATTTATAACCGGTTTAGTTTCAGACAATACTGTGGTTCATGCCAATTTTCAATGCAATACAAACTAAAACCAAAACACAGAGTTGGTTTACTTCGGTTAACATCTACGCTGAAGAAAATAGCACTTCGACCACCTCCATCGGCGTCTCTAAAGAGGGATTTTAAACCAAAGGCAAAAAAATGAAAAGAATAAAAAAACACAGAACCAGTGTTTAATGTGTGAATTTAGAGTTGGTAAGCACCCCTTACGTGTCACTTGCGTATTGGATCTCCATTTTATGTCTCTCTCTTCTCTCCTTCTCCTTCGTCGCGTTTTGATACGTAATCAATTTTTCTCTTCCTCCTCCAATCTCGATCACTCCATCTTCTCTCTCGATTCTGATCTAGATCTCCTTCTTAGAATCAAGAAACCGATGTCCCTCTCTCTCTCTCTCTCTCTCTCTCTCTCTCTCTCTCTCTCTCTCTCTCTCTCTCTCTCCCTGATTAAACCTTCATAATAAGGTAACTATCACATTTAATCATCACGATAATAAACTTCTGAAGCCTTTCTCTCATGTAATTCTCCCAAGCTTAGAATCGTTCTTTTGATTTAGTTAATTGTATGATGATGAAGATGAAGGAATTGCAATGTTTTGGGTTTGTTGGTTTTGTGATTTTGATCATCTAAGATTTTTCATAACCTTATCTTCATGTTTGCAGGGAGTTTTCGGTTTCAGAATCATTCGATATTATCTATAATTCTTTTGTCTTGTCTAGTTCATTGCTCGCCCTTTCGAATCTCCCAAGCTTTCTCCTTTATGTTCTCAAAGGTATGATTTTCTTCTTTCTTGTGTCTGTTTCAGAAATTTTTCATTAGATGTTAGTTCTGATCTTAGTTATGTGGATTATAATGCGAAGAGAGAAGAGGAATCCTCGTCACTTCAAACGGATGCGGTTTCCACCGTTTGATAATGAGGAGCTTCCAATGGAGTATGGTGACAATTTTTTGGACGTGGATCCTCTCGAGCCGATTCAGTTGGAGCTAGACGAGGAAGAAGATTCTGTTGTACACACGGTTTTATGACCACAAGCCACTAGTAAAGACCAAACTGATTAATGGTCCCAGTTACCAGGTATGCTCTTTCCTTCTCTTCTAGAATTTCGATCATTTTCTTTCACTTTGTTCGGTTTCTTCTCTTCTTCTTCTAATGCATTTTAAGAACCTCAAATGGATTCTCCCATTGGACCTTGACAAAACTAATTATATTAACAAAGGTTCTAAATTTCATAAAGTACACAATTAAAAATTAAACTAATCATTAGAACCCATCAAGGGCTCTAACCATTGGACATGCTCTTAATGACTCTTGAGAAAGCTGGATTAAGAACCAAAACCATGTACCCCTAAACGATTTGGAAGGTCCTAAAAGCTGCCAATATCTCAAAACCTTCAACCCTTAACCAGATCTAAATTATTTCCTATTATCATGATATCCCAGAAAATTATGACTGAATTTAGCCTCATTCATGATATATTTTCATCCTTCACAGTTGACCTATTACCGAAAATTCACCCACTAGACCTTTGCTCTGCCGCTACTAGCTACTATTTCCTCTATTCCGATCTTCATGGCTGATCTTTTACACCGTGCGATTAGTGCAATGACTCTCGAGGAAGAAGAACCATTGGTGTTGCCTGACAGCGAAGAGTTCATTGTGATTGATTCTAACTAGCTTACTGGGATGGCTTTGAAACCCTGATTGTCAGTCGATAGCCCGTATGATAGAGTACATGCCCACGGCATGTCGTGTGTATGGGAGCGCTCATGGAATTGCCCTCTCGCGAGATCGCTTTCAGTTTATCTTCCAACGTGAGGAAGATCTCCTTACTCTTCTTAAAGACTGACCATGGTCCTATAATCACTGGGCGATGGTGTTGGAAAGGTGAACATCATCTCCTCCGGAAGAATTTCTCTGCTCCATGAAATTATGGATTCGTATCAGAAATCTTCCGGTCAACAATTCCATGACAAAGATGATGTATAAGTTGGCTGAAGAGATTGGTAGTGTCAAAGAGATCTCGTACGACCTAAAAGTATTTCAGACAAAGGATTATACTAGATCTTTGGTTAACTTTAATGTTGACAATCCAGCTAAGCATCGAGGAAGCTTGCTCTTCCCAAAGGTGGCACTGTTACCATTGAGTTTGAGTATGAGAAGATACACAAGAGATGCTTTCATTGTCTCTGGCTGACTCATGAAAGAGCTAAGTTTCCCCTGTTGGGAAGGAAAGCTACGCTGCAAAATATTCCAGAGCAGCGATCAGAGCCCCCTGCTTTCAACTCGCGAACTCTTGCTTTGTCGAAGACACTATTGAGAGATGATCCTTTGGAAGGTCCACCTGGCTTCCCTCCTCTTTTTCCTGAGTTATTAAGGAAATATCAAATGGTGTTGCTTTACATTTCACATTCAGATAACACCCGAACGACTAGCAAGAATTCCGCGTGTTCGCCAAGGTATTGCAGACAACGAAAGGGAGTCCTCGATTTGTTTGACAAAGATCACTCAGGAATTAGATAAAGATAAGGGTCATGTTTATCATTACCTTGATAAGAGTAACACCAACCATGAGACAGATCCTATCTTCCACATTCCTGGGGCCTGCTCGTACGTAATATTGGTTAATGAGGAAACGGCAGACTCCTCTGCTCATATCTATAAGGCTCGGTCTGCACCAAAATTGGTTTCGAAGGATTTGCAGCTTGGCCCCTCCTCGGAGAGGCGAGTTTCCGGAAACCAATATACAGGCAAGACGCAACAAAGGAGACCGTCCTCATGGAAAAGAAATGTGAGTCCGAGAAATGCCTATGGCCCATCGGTATTGACTTGAAATGTTAATTAGTTACTTTAAATTATGAATTAGTTTTAAAATTTAAATAATCACTTTAGAAGTATGATTTCCACTATTTATTTAGCTGATTAAAATAATTAATTGTAGAGATCATGTGTGTGTATGTGTTGATATTTTGTAAGAATCAGCTTAGATAGAAAATCAAAATTCTTAAACTTATAATCTTTTGTTAAAACATGTCATCTTTTTATTTAACCATGTTATATTTGTTTTTTGATATGATTGTAAACATATGACATAAATAACCAAGTTTTACATGTATTTAAGCAAATATTTAAATAATCAATATATCAAAGACCACACTATATCAAAAGAGAATTGGTCAGAAAAAAAAAACAAAAGAGAAAAAATATTTATCTAAGGAATTTTTGTTATTAAATTTGACTAAATAGCACACTAATATATATATATATATATATATATATATATATATATATATATATATATATATAAATAATTCAGCATTAAGTTTAGTGTTTACCATTTCAACTACAGGCACATTTTCTTGTCATATAAACAGAAGAAACCTTCAACCTATGTTACTTCCCAATATCTCATTTGGTTTCAACACAATTTGTTGTATTTTTTTTTTTTTTTAAATTTGCATTCATACAAGAAGTTTAAATTTACAGGCATTAGAAAAGCCAATCTCCCCCCCCCCCACAACAACAATTGATGAATGCATAAAAAGCATTGAGAAGAATGTTTCTAAGAGAGTAAATGGCTATTGTTGGACCCACGAAGATACGACACATGAGTAAGGCCCTAAACAGGCTCACAAATGGATCTAAGTTTTAATCTCGAAGTCGAGCTCAAAATGACCAACAGCGAGAATTCGATCCCAAACCCATAAGGATCGAGAGCGTAATAAAGAGACTGAATCAACAGTTCGAGGATAAGATCAAAAGAGAGAAGATCCGAGAATCATAGAGCTCATTAGATAAAGAGGAAGAGATCTCAGAACTATAGGTAAGAATAAACTATTATAAAGAGAACAGAGGAAGAAAGGAAAAGGGGACACACATAACCCTAACTTTAGCACACTACAAACTCGATCTCGATCTCAGTCTCATTCTCTTAGTTACCTGTGTAGATCTTATTCATTGTCATTCCATCTCCTGTAAAATCTACATTGTATCTCAGTCTTATTATAATAAAGTCTATTTTTGTTAACTGGAATCCAATTATAATTTTTTGTTCCGAGGTTATGTTGCCCAAATACGTATTGTGATATTTAGGATCTACATTTATGTATCGGTTAGCATAAACTTACGGAAACCATGCAAGTGCACCCGACGAGAGTGGAAGAAGACGAAATTCACCGCCAATGAGAGTGGAAGATGACACAATTCACTCGATTAATAGAAAGAATAGAAGCTATACAAATGAACTCGACGAGAGTGAAAGATTAGCACGAGTAACGGCCGGATAATATTATTAAGCCCATCAGATCAACACCTGCTGGACCTTCAAAGAACATGTTGGGCCTCTCTCAGCCCAAGCCCACAAGTGCTCTTGCTACAAGACAAACGTCTTCAACAGTCACTGCCTAAGTCAAGGGAAAGAAGAGAGCTAACAAACGTACTGAATCTTTATCTCCTCAGGTGCAGCTTAGCAACAGATACGACCTCCTTATGGATCATGATGACTGAGCTGTCAGAGGACACCTGTCAACTTTCTAGATTCTTCTACTCTTTGTATAAATGAATCTAGTGTCAAAACTGTAATCCTCAAGTTTTGAGAATAATAAACTTCAATACTATTCAGAAAACTCATCTTGCTTATGTTGCTCTCTGATTGCCTTTATGGTATCATTGTTTGTCTATCAGAGAGCTAAACATGTTGTGTTCCTGCTACTCTATGTCGATGATATGGTTCTCCCAGGGAATAATAAGTCTTTGATACAAGAATTTCTCAAAGCACTGAGCAAACAGTTTCATATGAAGGACATGGGAACTCTTAGCTACTTCCTTGGGATACAAGCTCACTTTACACCAACTGGATTGTTCCTCAATAAAGAGAAGTATGCATCAGATCTTCTTGAAGCTGCTGGAATGCTCGATTGTTCTCCTATGCCCACGCCTATTCCTCTGCAATTAGACAGAGTTCCATATCAGGAAGAGTACTTTGACAATCCAAGATATTTCAGAAGCTTGGCATGAAAGCTTCAGTACCTTACGTTGACACGTCTAGATGTTAAATTTGATGTGAATCTGGTATGTCAAAGATGCACAAGCCAACTGTGTCTGATTTTCATTTGCTAAAACGGATATTGAGATATCTAAAAGGAATGAGACAGCTGGGCTTGTACCTTTATTCTGGCACAGATTCTCAAGTGAGAGCTTATTGTGATAGTGATTGGACTGGGTGTCAAGACACAAGGAGATCAACAGGAGAATTTTGTACTTTTCTTGGTGCAAACATCGTCTATGGTCAGCTAAACAGCAAGATTCAGTGGCTCGTTCATCAACAGAGGCTGAGTATCGAACTCTATCAGATACTGCAGCTGAGTTGTCCTGGATAAGTTTTGTCTTGAAGAGTGTTGGAGTTCTTCAAAAAGTCCCTGCAAAGATATACTGCGACAATCTCTCAGATGTACACTTAACAACCAATCATGTGCTCCACAAGAAATCTAGACACTTCGCGACCCACTATCATTTTGCCAGGGAGAAAGTTGCAGCTGGTACACTTGTCGTGAAACACATTCCTGTAGCACAACAGTTGGCCGATATATTCACAAAGTCACTGCCTAAGAAAAGCTTCTTTGACTTGCGTTTCAAACTTGGTGTGGCATTTCCACCCCCCTCGAGTTTGAGCGGGGGTATTAAGCCCATCAGATCAATACCTATTGGACCTTCAAAGAACATGTTGGGCCTCTCTCAGCCTAATCCCACAAGTGCTCCTGCTACAAGACAAACGTCTTCATTTTTTGAATGAATGTTAAATTTTATTCATCAAAAAAGCCTCGTTACAACATAGTTTGACTTAGCCTAAGCTAATTACAATCTTGTTGCAAACAAAAACTGAAAAATTTTCTCTCTATTCTTTACTCCTTTTACCTTCAGCAAGCTAAATTTATTTCTAACTTCTTCATCAATAAGCTTCATCATCTTGATCAAAGGCATAAACTTCTCTCCATGTCTGATTCTGTTTCTCTCCCTCCAAATAGCGTAGATGCTCGCCTGCATAGCATATCTGACACAGAACATTCCGTTCATATCCTGAACTCCAGCACAACCAGTGATTAACCGCACAATCTCAGGCCAGTCATTCGTATAAGCATTACGCAAGATTCCTTTCACAAGTTGTTCCCAAATCTCACTTGTATAAAAGCATCGATAGAAAAAGTGACTTCTAATTTCAACAGCACCCTTACACAGAACACAGGTGGTATCCACACCACTACTCCATTTCGAGATTCTATCCATAGTGGATAGCCTATCCAAAAGAGAAAGCCAGCTTATGAACGCAAACTTGGGAGTGGCTTGAGAGAACCAGACTCCTTTTGCCCAGTCACAAGGAGAACTAGCTTCACGAGTCAGCATCCATGTTTCATAGGTTGAGAAGGCAGCTTTATACCCAGACTTCCTTCTCCACAACGACCTATCTTCCACACTGCTTCTCACAGTTAACTTGACATTCTCTAGCTCTAACTCAATGGAATTAAAATCCACCGTACGATGCCTTCTCCTACGTCTCTCGATAGAAAAATCTTCCTCCATAGTGGCATCTCTACTAATACCCATGTCTATGATATCTCTATCACCCAACAACTCAATCAATCTACCTTTCTCAGACCAATTATCATACCAAAACGAGATGTGTCTACCATTCCCAACTTCTTTTCTATAAAAGATCTTAGCAACATCTCTTAACTTGAGCAATTTTCTCCACATCCATGAGCCAGGCTGAGAAATAGCCTTTACTTGCCAAAAACTCTTACCTTTTAGCAGGTTCTCCTTAATCCATCTGCCCCAAAGCGACTATTCCGTAATCATTCTCCAGATAATCTTAAGACAATACACCAAGTTAACTTCTTTAAGTTTTCTAATACCAAGACCACCCTCTTCTTTCATGTTGCACACTTCATTCCAAGCAACTTTAGCACCTGAAGTTTGAAGAACAGGACCCGTCCAAAGGAAAGCAGAACAGGGTTGTTCCACCTCCTTCAAGCACTCTCTTGGAAGCCGAAATAAAAGTTGCCCAGACGTTTATTATACTCATCAGAACTGACTTGATCAACTGTAGACGCCCCACAAAAGAAAGATGTCTACTTGTCCAAGTACCAATTTGGCTTCTAATCTTCTCCACCAAAGGAACATAGTCTTTTCTCTTCATTGCATGGGTCATTAGAGGGAGACCTAAATAACGGACAGGCAAACTATCTTCTGCAAAAGGAAAGTTCATAAGAATTCTTCCTCTTTCAACACTAGACACACCCGCCATGTAAATAGTAGACTTCTCCAAGCTAATATTCAAGCCCGACCATATAGCAAACTCTTCAAAGACCGATAGGCACCTTCAATCGACTCCTTAGTACCCTCCACAAATACCATTAGATCATCCGCAAAACAGAGGTGAGTTAGAGAAAGATACTTACACCTTGGATGAAGTTTAAATCTCTTATCTCTAGCAGCTTTATCTATTGGTAAGGAAAGCACGTTCATGCAAATCACAAAAAAAATAGGGAGAAAGCAAACACCCTTGCCTCAAGCCTCTCTTACTCTGAAAATAACCGGCTAGCTCGCCATTTATTTTCACAGAAAAGGAAGGACTGGTAATGCAAAGCCTGATCCAATGAATAAATTTCTCTGGAACACCCAAAGCCTTTAAACTGTCCAGAACAAACTTCCACTGAACCGAATCAAATGCTTTAGAACTATCTATTTTCATAAAGCATCGAGGTGAAACAGAATCATTGTGATAATCCTTCACCAGCTCTGAAGCAAGTAGAACGTTCTCCATCAGCAATCTACCCC